TCTCTGTAAATGTTCATTAAAATGAGTAAAATAAATTTAAAAAGAAATAACCATCATTCAAGAAGCCAAAGAAATCAAAAGACATGCTGTACTGGGACTACCTGCTGTCAAGGACCTCTCCAAAGTTCTAAAGAGCAGAATGTTGGTTTAAATATGATGGTACACCTGATCTAATTTCAACTGCTTGCTATCATCTGAGAGTTGGACAATGACTCAGGATGACAGAAGAATCATTCTCTTTGAATTGTGGTGCTAGAGAAGAGACAGAGGGGAGAGGGAAAGACTGAGCAACAGGGTTTCTGAAGTCCCTTCCCATTCAAAATTTTGTTTGTGTGAAAAAGAACTTGCCTTACAGGAAAAGGACAACGACAATACTTACCATGTGTTGGGGGCTTATTCTGTGTGATGCACTCTTCTAAAGGTTTGCATCAAAGATCTCATTTTACAAACTGAATCAATTTATGATTCTTCTTCTATTTTCTAGATACCAACAAAGTAAAACAAAAAACAACTGTCCCATAAATTGTGCGCTTTTATAACAGACACAACCTCTAAATACCAAAAGAAGAAATGGATGAGATAGATGAACCAAGAAAATGCAAACCAGTGTGTTTTAGACAGAAATGCATGGGGCCCCATGCCACATTCCACTGCCTACTGGACGAAAGCACATCTCAACCTGTCAAAATCAACTGCTTTCATGTCTTTTTTCAAAAGCTGGAATTTTAGAAATAAGCTAAGGTATCATACACAAATTTTCTACATTCAAGCACAAATATTATGTACTAGCTACCTCACAGAAAATACGGGAATGCCAATAAAACATAAGGATCATTCAAAACGAACTTTTAGGCAGGTATAAATGATACTTGAATATAGGACACTAGTTCCTTCATATTATATCTATTATTATTCTATTAACATCAAGATAACCAATTAAAAAGAAATTTAACAAAGAACCAGTAAATTGTTTTTAAAATTGGAGAGCTGAACTTGGTAATTTCCTCAAGAAAACAAATGCAAAATTTTAATGCATTACTAAACCACAGACTGCAGTGTCCTAAAAATTTACATTTTGCTTCTATCTTTATATTCTATATATCCCAATTTTTTTAGTAGGTATAAAATGTATTTATCACTTTTTTCACTCATAAAGTATCATTTTGGACAAATTAAATTTTTAGTCCTAACTTTAAATAATCTCATACTAAAGCCCTCTCTCTTGAACACTCACATAAGTAGATAAGCACTTTAAAAAAACAGAAAAATGTCTTTTTAGTTCTTGTATCTCACTCAAATAACTGATCTCAGAAATGGCATTAGATATACAGAGTACAATAACCATAACCTATTCTTTGTATTTTGTTTTTAAAACACTAGAACAAGTGGTTGGCGGTATGAAACCACATACAAAGTCAAAGAATTTGAGATAATAAAAAAGGAGTATTGTTTCATATAATCTGCCTTAACTGCACAGAGAGGCGAGAGGGATTAGCAATCTCCTCCAGTGTGATTTACCGCCTCTGAAAACCTGCTGAAGTGTCAGCTATGGGTCAGTTCCAACTCAACAGCACCTAACAGTAATAATTCCTCTTATCTTCATACAGCCAGTACTCAGATGTGTTGTCACGTCGTTGTTCTTGTTATGTGCCATAGAGTCGGCTACGACTCATAGCTATTCTATGTACAACAGCCCAAAACTCTGCCCTGTCCTGTGCCAATCTCACTGTCTCTGACACACCCATCCCCACTACTCTAGTCACTGAATCAATCCATCTCAAGGGTCTTCCTCTCCTGCACTGTCCATCCACCCTTCCAAGCATGATATGATGTCTCTCTCCGTGCAACATGTCCAAAGGATGTCAGATGAAACTTCAGAATCCTTGCCTCCAAGAAGCAGCCCAGTTTAACCCTCTCCAGGATGAACCTGCTTGTTTTCTTAGGAGTTCACGGTATATTTTCTATATACTTTTCTCCAGCACTACAGCTCAAAGGCATCAATTCTCCTTCTATCCTCCCTAGTCATTGTTCAGTTCTCTGACACATAGCCTCCAGAGTGACACCACTGTTCTCCAATACTCTGGCGAGGTCTCTAACAGCAGATTTTCCCATCACAATACATCTTTTAATTTTCTGGCTGCTGGCGCCAAGAGTGTTGACTGTGGAGCCAAGCAAACTAAAGCTGTGAACAATCTCAATCTCTTCACAATCCATCCTGATGACCAATTGGCCCAGTGGTGAGCATCTTTGCCTTCTTGATATTGAGCCTCAATCCATATCAAAGGCTGCAGTCTTTGACCTTCTGTAGCAAGTGCTTCAGGTCCTCTTCAGTTTCAAGAAGCAGTGTTGTATCATCTGCATAACACAGATTGTTGATGAATCTTCCACCAATTCTTATGTCATACTTCTCATA